ATCGGAAAATGCGCGTACATCTGTTTTCCGATTCTTGGAACGAATATCCAAGATCGTTCTGCGATTTTCTTCGGATAAGAGGAAAACAGAACAGAGCATCTCCAGACATGATAAGATTGAGCAATCTGGAAACGTTGGAAAACAGGTACGATCCGACAGGTTTTTATGGATTCCCCGTTTTAGCGATGTTATTTGTATCGTAATGCACATTGGAGCTTGCAGGTGGAATTTAAACGGGAGAAATTTTAAAATGTAAATTTATCGATGATTGCAAATATCGTTAATACAGTAATTTGAAAAGACTAATAAATAATCGTGTTCTCCATTACTGATAATTGCGAAATATCGGTAACCAGAGGATGGTACTTCAAGGGTGGAACATCTTAATTGAACAGAGAGAGGGTTCGCCTCTAATTGTTTCATTATAGATCATTTGACATCTTCATTTGATTTAATAGACAAAACCAGAATGCATTATGCGTTCAAGAAGATGCAACCACTTTCAAATATTGCATCCACTTCATTTATTTCAACCCTTTCGACACATTAATTTTCCTAAGTTACTAAAATTATCTTACATTCTTGATTCATTTATTTTCATTCGAAAAGTGTTAAATCTCCCGAAGTGTTAAATTTCACGAAGTAAATTAATCAGAATTTAAAAACTTTTCAAACGTTTCATCAATTTTTATTTGCATCGATTGTGTAGTGTAATCAAGGTGTACTCACAAAGTTGCAGTTTTTCCCCCGATGCAAATGGGTGATAAATTTTACGAAGTTTCGACAATCTTAAACCACCGCGACAAACTTGGTCAACATGTTGTTCAACCCGAATGACGATCGAGCAATATGTATTACTTTCTCGATACAATCTGTCACCTTGAGTATGTCTTACCCTGATTTTCCAATCTTCTTCGACAAACTGAGTGGTCGTTTCTATAAACCCGCCGAACCTCGCCCAGAACACCCCCCCCCCCCCCCCCCCCCACTCTGAGACTAATTAATTTTTTACTCATAAATTCTGGAAGCCTGCTTTTCTTCGTTCTTCAGCAACATATTTTAACTGACGAATAAATTCCTTTCACCTGTTCGTTATTAAAATATTTGCCGGATCTTTATATCGTGATCTCAACTTACGAGTTAGGTGCAGAAATTTGTAATCAAATCGTTTCATCCATCAAAAACTGATATTTTAAAGAATTTTTAATATCGTCTGTCTGCAGCATTTAAGTGAGATGTTTTACGAGTTCCTCAACAAAGTTCCTCAAGTTTCTTATTTACAGATTTCTGCACATTTATCTGGTAAACTGAGAATTCTGTATAAAGGGCTTCGCCAAGATCAACGTTGATCCAAACGAACATAAAAAGTTTTCCTTGATCTATTTTCGATCGAGCTGTCGTGTTCCATCTCTTACCGATAAAGAGAAGTTTTTTTTCTTCAGTCATCTTAGACACAAAAAGGTGAGCGGAAAGCTTTTCTTCCATTTATCCCTCTCCCACGCAATTGAGATTGCGTATAACAAACAACTAACATCGTATCGTTGATACATTGTGCTATAAATATCGAAATTAATATCAAACAAATTTTTACTGCATTTCAAATAGAAATATTATTTCACACGACTCTCGAATAACATAGTACCTCAATTTCTACTGGGTACATTTCCCATGTACTTCATTTTACGCGTGAACAAGTCGAAACCCGAAATTACGCAGTTACCAACTGATTTCGAACAAATGATAGACACGTGAATCCATTAAAAGCGTTTAATCGTCGACGAAACATCGCCAACGAAGCTGCAAATCGCGTCGAATCGCTCCGTGAAATTTTATAGTTTCTCTCCGAAAATCCTAGCAATTTTACGTTCCTCGAGTCTCGTCGAAAACGAGCGCCATTCGTCTTTCTAAAATTTCATTGAAAATGACATTGGCGAAAGAAAAAAACAGAGCGACACTCGATCCGGTCGATTCTCGAGCGGATGGAGCGTCATCGAGCGTTTCGTCGCGTGTTTATTACACGATGTTTATCGACGGGTAACCGTGCGAATTGCTCGTGAAAACAGATGCGCCTCGCAAATGAACGCGATGTTAATTTAAGGCGGCATTAACAGTATCGTGATCACGAGTTACTGGATCGGAAGCATTAACGTTTAAAATTAGAAAAGCACTCGTAGATCAGACTCGGTATCGCGTGTATCAAGCTGGCCGAATGTGAAATGTTTGTCTATCAATTATTCACTGGTTCTCGCGATGCTACGAATGAATTTATTGCCGACTATTTCTGCTCCGCGTTTTGCATACTCTTTTTTTATTTCTACGATTCCCTTGAAAGTTAGCCAGACCGGAGCGAATAATTAACACGTTGATACCACGGTGCTGCCATGGTGGTCAGTGGTGGTCGAAAGAGAAGGCAAACTTTGCAAATTGAGTTTTTAAATTTGAAACTCCAAATCAACCAACTGCATCCTCGACCATTTGATACATATGGAGATCACTTTTGAATCTTCAATTCCTAGCTCTATACATTTTATTTGTAAATCTGATTTATCAATTCGATGTAAAAAATTATATGGATAGTAAGAAATGATCAATTATCCAGTTAACAGCTGTTTCAACAGCCTCGCGATAGTTACGATCGTTTCATATATCAAAATTTAATTTACCAACTTCGCTACTACACGAAGCGGTTGGATGGTAAAATTTAAATGGAAACAAACATAAATTTGTCCAGATGGTGCTTCACTTTACAGAGACTACGTACGTTTAAGCTTTGCTGCATTTGTTACAAGAGTTTCTCATTAATTCAAACGCTAATGGGCACGTAATTTGCTAACAATTTTGTAGCAAAAAACACAATTTACAAAAGTGTTTTAAATACTTGGTTCACGATTAACACGTTGAATAGCAGGGTACTGGTGAACGGAATTACAAATTTAATATAATCGAATAATAATAGAAAGCGAGGTTCCACGTTCGTTTTGACAGCAGCAATCAACGTGTTAATGCATTTGTAAAATTACACCGAATCCTGTTTATTGGTAACTCGATTCGTTTAGAGCTTCTTGGTAAACGATTTACCTTTCTTGCTGCTCCCGCTTTTCCTTCGAAGCGAGTTACGTTTTCGACTACTCGCCGGCTCCGGTTATTATTCACACGTGCTTAATTTCTCGTTTCAACGAGCTTTCGTGATTCGCTCTCGCGAATAAACACACACGCGCCATTCACTCGTTGCTCGATTCTTTGCCCGTGTTATTTCCAGTCTTATCGAACAACAAATTAATCGAACGATCAATAAGAAAACATACAATTCTCGAAAAAATTCAGTGTCTGTTTGAAAAAAAAAAAAAAAAAGAAAAGGAAAACAATCAATTTTTCAAGCTTCAGATCGTAATTTCAGGCAGTGCAGGATAAAGAAAAATAATTCATTCTTAATCGTAACACTGATGCATCGATCCTCTTCTCGTTTCTCTTCTCTTTTTAATTCCAAGATGGAATGCACTTCGAAGGTACAGTAAAAAAAATTGTGTTAATGATTCAAGATTATGTATACGTTCTGCTTGTGATGTTTCTACTTATTATCGCAGCGATTCGCGTGTTTTTTTTTCTTCCTTTCAGTCATTCGTTGTACGTAAAACGGGATGCAAACATTTGTTGTTATCATGAAATGCACCGATAGATGCTAGCCACGCTGGCAACGAGATATCAATTCGGCGAAATCGACAGCGCGCCGTAAACTGAAGCGAAACTTGGATCCGAGGAGGATCCATGCTCCCTCGACGCAGTCGCAAAACACGATGCAACCTTTCTATGTTCTCTTTCTTCTCTTGACGCCCCGTACTAGGATATTTCTCCTCGAATTAACCCCCTGTTTCCTTCCTCCTCATCGACATCTCTTTCCATCCCTCTTGAGAATTCAAAGATCATTCTACTTAACGAATTGTTTTCTTCAAATTGTTTTCTGATAAAAAAGGAACTTCTGTAACGAATCTTTCGTCCAATCTCTTGGGATATTGCTTTCAATACAAATGTGATAAATCTGGATGAGGAATCCAAGGATTAAACACAGTAGAGAGGATTTGTCGTGCGAAGGGTTGTTTATTCATCAACAGTGGTCTTCTTTTGATAATCGACCAGAGGTCAGCGAGAAGAGGAATTTCGAGAAACGTCCAGCAACACGAAACTATGGAATCGCGTCGCTCGTTCGTTGTTACGTTTGCGAATCCACTTGGAATTCAATTAGAATTCCCACGGTAAGTGATGCCCGGAATGGTCGGACATAGCCGCGCGGAATACGAGTGCAGAATTTCAAGCTTCTCAGTCTTCTCGGCGAGTCGATGGGAGGCACGTTAAAAAAAGTACCACGTTATTTTCGTGTTGAATCCGACTCGTTATTCGTTCGTTTATTCGAGCCATTGTTATGCCGGTACAGACGAGACTCAATTCGTTCGTCGAGTCACGATTATTAGCGGATTTTCGACAAAATTTCAACGGTTAATTAATAAAATTAACACTCTTACAGGCTTCGTTGTAATCCAGTGGAAAAATTTTCGGGCTAATTTCCCTCCATCGCGTTAAGTGCCAATCAATTTCACCGCAATTAACACTTCAAGCGTGCACGAAAATGTTCAGCAGTTGTATCCTGACCCAAAAATGAATCGCGAGTACTATTTTCGTTCGTTTGATCGATCCAGGGATAAATCGTGACCTTTTAATTACCGTGGATAGCAATAAGGCGAAGAACGCTGTTTTCAATCAAATTAGAAGGTAAGAGGATATCGTTTCAACTGTTTGTAAGCAATTAATGAATGGAAACAGGATTTGTCCAGTCGCTTCTTCGAAAATTCATTGAATCATCTCATTCGATAGATTTCTTTTCTTCTCGTTCCAAGTGATCTTGCTAAATCGTTTTCGAATGAATTAAACGGGGCTGTCGTAATCACTGTCATTTTCATGACACTCGTTCGTCTACTTGTATGACGTGGAACGAGAGAGAAGAGGACGTTCAGATTTCTCGTTTATTTGCTGATCGTTGCGTGATCTCGTTCAAGAGGATCGAGTAGAAGGCAAACGAAAACAGCCTAATTCGATCGGGGAACCAGTGGAAATTGCGACAAAGATGTTATACGCTTTTCATCTGCGATATTGGCTTGAGGAAACACGAGAGGAGAAACGGTAATGGACGATGACAATGAACGATAGATGAGAAAAATAACCTGTCGAACGTTAAACATACGGAAATTTGATTGTAATAATTTGATGGAAAAATGACAGACTTTTGGAAGTAGAATTGCACGAAAATAAATGATGGAAATATCATTTCTGGGCTTAAAATGATCCATCGATGATCCTCGGGTTTTAATATAGAAGTTGACTTGTTTCTGTTAAGTTCTGATGGATGCAACCGCTGGAAGTTTCACCGCGATTAATTTACACGACGACGAGCTGATCAAACCTGTTCGCTATTCGGAATTCGTAACTTCTCCAGCGACAACATTGATTAGTTTTATCGGCCTCAACGCGAGACCAGAAATTTCTCGAAGAAAATTAAAGCAGCTCACCGAGTTCGGAGGCAGCATCAACGATCGGAATTAAAGCATCCCGATATCGTCGTTTTTAAAATTCTACGGCTCGTCGGAGATATTAATTCAGCACGGTTAATCGATACGGAACTGGTGGAAATTAATCGATACGAGATAAAGGTAGATTCGCATTTTTAGCAATTATATGTCGATGGACAATTGCCCACTGTAAGGTAACTGCGTATTCCTTCGTCAGCTGTGAAATATTGGTTCGTGGAATTTATCAAAGGGCCAATAAATTAGGGGGTTTAACTCATTGATTTAACAATGGACAAAAGGTAGACTAAATTTAACAAGCAACAATGAGAAGTTCAAAATTTGTAAAATGGAATAATATTTGGTTGCTGGAAAATTTCGTAGGGTTTCATTAATGAAACATTTATCAAACGTTTTAATTACCATCATTTCAGGTTGATAATAAATCATCCCAACTATCTCATTCTCATTTTGCACTTCTTTTCATTTCATAGTTCTTATGTAATTTTTTGCACGGAAAATCTTTTTGCTGTACGTATTTGAATGTTACTGAACCATGTGAAAGGAAGCTTAAAGCAAAGGGTTAAAGCGAGATTCTTTGGCCTGTGATCGTTCGCTGGAAAAATTGTTAGCAACTGCATGCTCTTTTTAAAACTCAGCATTTACAAGTGCAATCGTGAATATGCAAATTACGCAACGGTTATTTGTTGTGGGTGGTCACGCATTATACAGCTAAAATGCAACAGCTAGGCAGAAATAATTTTATAGGTTGTAATTTGCCAGAGAATATAAAAAGCAGTGCTAATAAATGACGTTGCGTTGTCGATCAGCTTCCTTCGTATAAAATAATTGAAAGTTAATTAAGATGAATTTTAAACGTCCCTCGTATTTATTTAATCGAACAGAGGATGAGAATAGCAGTAAACAATTCAGTAAATTTTATCGTAACAAAAGCAATGTATTAAATTCAAAAGCTTTATATCATTAAATACAAATATTTTTCAATAAATATAAAAGAAGTGGATTTCTGTAATTATAAACAGATTATTTTATATTTTCGTTTTTATTAGGAGAAATTTGTTGCAGTGATTTATTGATTTTAATTAACAGTGAGTATTAAACTCATAAATACCACTTTGGTGTAATCTATGTCACGAGTTTCGGATATTAAATGCACAAATAAAGGTGAAAAAACTAGTGGTAGAAGTTATTGTCTTCTAAAATGTTCCACCTGTTTATTTTTTTATAGTGTGAAAATATAAAGTGGACTTTCTATTGAATTGTTTGCATACAATTATAGCAGTGACCACAGACCCAACAAAACTGGACATGCCATTGTTTCCGAAGGATCTTGAATTTGTGCCTCGAGAACGAGGTGCCATCTGCTCTATCTTAGTATGAAAATGTGAAACACTTGAAACTGCAACAGTCTAATGCACTTTGACGGTGCATTACCGGTGCAACAGAAGGTTGCTTCGATACCAACAATTATATCCCTTATTTCCCTATATCCCTAAATTTTCCTTCTCTATTACATACATAATTTTCACCATTTGCATTTCAAAAAGAGTTGGAATTCTTGCGCCTTTCGAAGAACTAACAAAGACCTAACTTCGCTCGAGAACAAAGGCATGTCCAGACATTAAAATTAACCCAATATAAAACATGAAACTTAATACATTACTTTAATGCTTGCAGTGTCTCATTTGTTCCCTTTTCGTTTATATTATACTCACTGGAAAGCTTTATTAACATTACAGTTTTATCGCAAACAGCGACCAAACTTTTCAACTGAGCATTCAACGATAAAGCTAAAATTCGGTTCCATTACTCAACGCTGCTGCCATCTGATGGCCAGAGGTTCAGTCTTTCTAAGCGCGGGAAATTGCAATCGATTGAAGTATGGTCTCAAACCAGCTACATTATCGCGGACTGATAAAAACAGCCACCTAGTTCTCGACCTACAGAATGAAACCTCAGCGACAAAACACGACTTTCAAATAAAATCAAGCTTCGCGCACTACCTGACAGAAAAAGAGCGCTAACTTTCTGCTGCAGACATCTGCGGAAAGGAAACTTTAATATCGCAATGATTTATTGAATTTATCCGCAGTCTAATAACTGCACATCTGTATTCTACAAAATGTATTCACAAATCTTCTACAATTATTTCATTGGTACTAATATTTGGAGATTGTTCTTCCTGGTGAGTGCTTATAAAATTGTTAGCAAGATAAATCCGGTACATCTATAATCTGGTTACATTTGCTCCGAGATAAAATAGTTTACTCTTTACTCTGCTCCAACGAACTAAATGGACCCATGATTTTTCATTTCATCACAAAGTAATTTAAAAAATAGAGAAACCAAGAATAAAAAGAGGACAAGAGACAAAAGGACAATTGCGTTAAAAAATGAATGGATTAATTCATGGAAAATCATAAAGTAAAGGGATCGAATGATTAAAACGTGTCAAAGGTAAACGGAAATGTTTGAAACCATTCGGAAATCGCAAGTAGCTTCTTTAAAGCAGCCCAACCACTCGAGCAAAATTATAAAATCGGCACGAAGTGTTTGCGCCAAATATTTAGTCGAGAATGAAACGAGGTGGAAGGGAAAGAGGAAGTGGGTAGACTGCTCGAGGTCACGCCACACAGATTTTCAGATCTATATTTCAAAGGACGGCCAACTTGCACGCATTCGAACACAAGTCGAGGCCTTACGGAAGTGATTCGATTACGTAATCCTCCATATTGCCATCTTTGCGATCCAACCGTGGATTCAATATTTTATGTTTCAACGAGTACCTTTGGGACATTTTATCATCGCATCCAGCCGCGACACTTGTGTCACTTACGTCAGAAGACTCCTTGCAATTCAAGTAACTTTCGCGAGATGCATTATGAAATTGTCATCCATAAAATATGTATTTTAGCTATTTTTATTAAAGACATTATTGAAACACTTAAATATTCATGTTTTTTATCCTTTAAAATTTTAATTGATGTACCATAAGTGCCATTTTACTACACTTTTCTGTAATGAAATTCTGTTAGCCTTCATGCATTATGAAACTGATAGTTTAATATGCAGCAATCATCCAATTAGGCAAATAGTTTCACCTCGTCTTATCTTCCATTTATAATTACAGTAAAAATTCTATGATTAAAGAATTTTAATTAATTCTAATTAATTACCGTGCCAAGGTATCAATAGTCCTTCCAAATATTTTATTTTAGCATCAGTCAACCCTGCCTCACCTAAGTCATCTATGAATCTCAAATTTAACGATAACTTAGCTCGAATAACCGTAATACGAGACGCGTCCGCAGCTATTCACGGTAATTAAGAAATTTTAATTAAGGCCACCATGTCGGAACGTATGGAGCCCTGAGTATCTGGATGAGTCCCTAGCGACGAGCATTCATTCGACCGCGTCAACTCTTTACCTTAAACCGTTTTAATTAGGTGGTACACGGAGCGTTGTATATTTGATATCAACGGGCACGTGTTGCTGACATGCATTCTGAATGCGTGTATACTCAGAAGGGATAAAATAAATCCGTACAACCTGTTTAAAAGCTCTTACCCTTAAGTCTAGTACACCCATAAGAATCACGATCGAGCGGTTATAAATTGCAGAGTTATTATCTGTGCTTTAGTTTTATCGGTGCAACTAATAGCACTCTTCTGAAGTTTAGTGATGAAAAATGGATCAGAGAATAGAGATTTTTCATAATTTATTTTATAGCACATAGAAGATAAGTTGTTGTTCTTTCTTCTTTGATGTTTTAATTTGTCGAAGCTTTAATGAACAGATAAATGTTCTGAAATGTTTGATGATAAAAGTTTTACCCGTATCATAATTTTAATGCAACCTTTGACCTTAAACATACCCCACGTTAGTAAAAAATTGTTTGTCTTTATAATAAACTGGATGTTGAAGTTAAATTTAGTTATTCTGAAATTCAAATGGATATGAAATTTATTCGTCCAAAAATGGATTAGTAACAGTGAAAGACAATTGGATGTCGAGAATTCGATCGGAAAGAATTGACCAACCTTTTATTTCGATCTGGTGGAATTTTGCGCTTTAATTGTATCGCGATTTGCAAGCATTGTGTGTACACAATCTGTACGCAACAGACTCATAAAGCTTTTAATCCTGTATGGCCAACTTAATGAACTATTATGTCACGCACTCCTTTGTACGAAATTCTGTTAAAATAACTGTTGTGTACATGGGTATTGTGAATATTTATCGTATATCTTTTGAATTTCAATTCGTGTTCAATAACAGCAATTTTGTTAAATGAAATAATTGGAATGTAATTGAAACGGGCTTATGAAACTAAAATAGAACGATCAGTACTTTTCAAATTTCTTTTTACATAGGTCATGAAATAAAACAGAAAAGGTATAAATTTTTTAGAAAAACCCTATATGGATCACCATTCGACGTTTCTAAATACTTGTAAATTTTATTGCTCCCCAATTCAACCCTTATCGCTAGGATCGACGTCAATTTTTCACGACCCAACGAGGTCAGCATTAGTGATGGGGTAGCAATTACAAGTAATTGCTTTCAATTCGTATGTGACGAAAGTTTCGAATAATTTCAAATTTTAATCAAGCTCTACTAGTATCGAAATTCTTGAAAATGAAGAAAATGCAACAGTGTCCAAATTTCTCAAATATTACCATTTTATACTTAATATTATACTAATAATCAACTAGATACTATCTGCAATTTATACCCGCATGATTTACAACTACAATTTTCAAAACAATTTAAAATTATTCTGCACTTGTAAAAATCAAATTTCTAAATTTTCCAAAATGTTTGACTTCGAATAATTATCCAAGTAATTCGATACCTAAATATACTCAAATTTCTCAAGTAAACTTGCAGACAGCATCATTAATCACGGTCTAAATCACGTAGGTCCTCAATTTGTCGGTATCTTACCCTATTAAAATTACCTCGTCGTGCACGCGATTATCGTCTGCTGTGCTTCTTATCGGTGCATCATTAATTTCTGTTTGTAATTAATCGCTGGCAAATTATTCCAGAAACGATTCAATCACCGATCTACACGCGGGGTGGTTTGCTATACTCCTGCTGGATCGGGGGTGGGTGGGGG